GGTTATCACTACTAATATGACTATTGATCTTATCAAAATAATTATGATGGTCAGAATAATAATATTACTAATGGTAATTATTATCATTATTATTAGCATTATAATAATTATTATTATCTATATTATTACTACTATTAGCATTATTACAGTCGTTATTGTTGTTTCTGTAGATATTATTATTACCATTAGTTATATAATTGTTTTTGCTATTATCTTCATCGTTTTTATTATTGTTATGATCATTATTACTATTATTTTCAATGCCATTCTCATTATAATCATCACTGTTGTCATTATTACTATTAGTATCATAAATATTGTTATCATCATCATTATCATTAATACTATTTTTAATATCATTACTAGTATCATCATTATCATAAATATTTTCATAATCATTACAATCACCATAATCAGTATCATTATCATTACTATCATCACCATTCCTTATCTCCTAATTATCAATATACCCATTACACTTTCGTTTACCTTTTTCTTTATACACTCTTCAAGTCAGACTCCCCATTGCAACTTGGTCCTTGTGCTTGCAATGATAAGCAATATTGGGCAATAATCGGCCGGTTTGTTAAAATTGCACGAGACTCAATCCAAAGAATATTCGTATACTTGACATGCATAAATAAAGAAATAAATGCATATCTATCAGTCTAGACATGCATATCAACCCGGAAAATAGATGGTTAGATGTATATCTATCAGATATATAGAACAGATATGCCTCTATTTCTGCATCTGTATTTATGAAAATCTATCGGATCGGGCCTGACACTAAGCGTTTGTCTCTACATAAATACGCTGTATCCAAGTGACACAGCAACCACGTCCAAGTGACACAGCAACCGCGTCCAAGTGACACAGCAAGTCGACACAGCAACCGCGTCAAGTGACACAGCAACCGCGCAACCGTGTCAGCAACCGCGTGGCAAGTGCAGCAACCGCGTCCAAGTGACACAGCAACCGCGTGCAAGTGACACAGCAACCGCGTCCAAGTGACACAGCAACCACAGCAACCGTCCGTCGCGTCCAAGTGACACAGCAAACCGCGTCCAAGTGGACACAGCAACCGCGTCAAGTGACACAGCAACCGCGTCAAGTGACACAGCAACCGCGTCCAAGTGACACAGCAACCGCGTCAAGCAGCAACCGCGTCCAAGTGACACAGCAACCGCGTCCAAGTGACACAGCAACCGCGTCCAAGTGACACAGCAACCGCGTCCAGGTGCAACCGCGTCCTCCTCTGCCGTCCGCGGACTCAGGCCATCAGATGGATTGGTCAGCGTCCCGTATTGTCTTCTCTGGCGCTTCCGTCTTGATGAAGGTCCTGTGGAATTCCAACCCGGGCGGTGTTTTTTTCTTTTTCTTTCTTTTTCTTTCTATCTTTTCTTTTCTTTTCTTTTTTTCTTCTTCTTCTTCTTCTTCCTCCTCCTCCAAGTGACACAGCAACCGCGTCCAAGTCAGCAACCGCGTCCAAGTGACACAGCAACCCGTCCAAGTGACACAGCAAGTGACACAGCAACCGCGTCCAGCAACCGAGTGCCGTCCAAGTGACACAGCAACCGCGTCCAAGTGACACAGCAACCGCGTCCTCCTCTGCCGTCCGCGGGACTCAGGCCATCAGATGGATTGGTCAGCGTCCCGTATTGTCTTCTCTGGCGCTTCCGTCTTGATGAAGGTCCTGTGGAATTCCAACCCGGGCGGTGTTTTTTTTCTTTTTTCTTTCTTTTTCTTTCATCTCTTTCTTTTCTTTTCTATTTTTTTCTTTTTTTTTTCTTCTTCTTTCTTCTTCTCTCCTTCCTTCTTCCTTCTCTCCTCGTTTCCAAGTCAGCAACCGCGTCCAAGTCAGCAAGTGACACAGAACCGCGTCCAAGTGACACAGCAACGCGGCAAGCGTCGTGTGTCAACACAGCAACCGCGTCCAAGTGACACAGCAACCGCGTCCAAGTGACACAGCAACCGCGTCCAAGTAAGTGACACAGCAACCGCGTCAGTGACACAGCAACCGCGTCCAAGTGACACAGCAACCCGTCCAAGTGACACAGGCGTCCGACACAGCAACCGCGTCCCACACAAGGTGGCGTCCAAGTGACACAGCAACCGCGTCCAAGTGACACAGCAACCGCGTCCAAGTGACACAGCAACCGCGTCCAAGTGACACAGCAACCGCGTCCAAGTGACACAGCAACCGTCCAAGTGACACAGCAACCGCGTCCAAGTGACACAGCAAACCGCGTCCAAGTGACACAGCAACCGCGTCCAAGTGACACAGCAACCGCGTCCAAGTGACACAGCAACCGCGTCAAGTGACACAGCAACCCGCGTCCCAGTGACACAGCAACCGCGTCCTCCTCTGCCGTCCGCGGGACTCAGGCCACCAGATGGATTGGTCAGCGTCCCGTATTGTCTTCTCTGGCGCTTCCGTCTTGATGAAGGTCCTGTGGAATTCCAACCCGGGCGGTGTTTTTTTTCTTTTTTCTTTCTTTTTCTTTTCTATCTTTTCTTTTCTTTTCTATTTTTTTTTTTTTCTTTTTCTTTCTTCTTTCTTCTTCTTCATCTCTTCTCTCCTTCCTCCTTCCAAGGACACAGCAATCCAAGTGACACAGCAGCGTCCAAGTGACACAGCCAAGTGACACAGCAACCCGTCCAAGTGACACAGCAACCGCGTCCAAGTGACACACAACCGCGTCCAAGTGACACAGCACCGCGTCCAAGTGACACAGCAACCGCGTCCAAGTGACACAGCAACCGCGTCCAAGTGACACAGCAACCGCGTCCAAGTGACACAGCAACCGCGTCCAAGTGACACAGCAAACCGCGTCCAAGTGCCACAGCAACCGTCCGTCCAAGTGACACAGCAACCGCGTCCATGACACAGCAACCGCGTCCAAGTGACACAGCAACCGCGTCCAAGTACACAGCAACAGATGACACAGCAACGCGTCCAAGTCCAAGTCCAAGGACACAGCAACCGCGTCCAAGTGGACGCGTCCAGTGACACAGCAACCGCGTCCAAGACACAAGCAACCCGCGTCCAAGTGACACAGCAACCGCGTCCAAGTGACACAGCAACCGCGTCCAAGTGACACACAACGACACAGCAACCGCAAGTGACACACAAGTCCAGTGACACAGCAACCGCGTCCAATGACACAGCAACGCGTCCAAGTGACACAGCAACCGCGTCCAAGTGACACAGCAACCGCCACAGCAACCGCGTCCAAGTGTGCAACCGCGTCCAGACACAGCAACCCGCGTCAAGTGACACAGCAACCGCGTCCAAGTGACACAGCAACCGCGTCCAAGTGACACAGCACCGCGCGCAACCGCGTCCAAGTGACACAGCAACCGCGTCCAGGTGACACAGCAACCGCGTCCAAGTGACACAGCAACCGCGTCCAAGTGACACAGCAACCGCGTCCAGATGACACACAACCAAGCAGCAACCGCGTCCAAGTGACACAGCAACCGCGTCCACACAGCAACCGTCCAAGTTGACACAGCAAACCGCTCCAAGTGACACAGCAACCGCGTCCAAGTGACACAGCAACCGCGTCAAGTGACACAGCAACGCGTCCAAGTGACACAGCCGCGTCCAAGTGACACAGCACCGCGTCCAAGTGACACAGCAACCGCGTCCAAGTGACACAGCAACCCCGCGTCCCAGTGACACAGCAACCGCGTCCTCTCTGCCGTCCGCGGACTCAGGCCACAGATGGATTGGTCAGCGTCCCGTATTGTCTTCTCTGGCGCTTCCGTCTTGATGAAGGTCCTGTGGAATTCCGACCCGGGCGGTGTTTTTTTTTTTTTTTCTTTTTCTTTCTATCTTTTTCTTTTTCTTTTCTATTTTTTTCTTTTTCTTCTTTTCTTTTCTTCTTTCTCTTCTTCATCCAAGTGACACAGCAACCGCGTCAGGTGACACCAGCCCGCGTCCAAGTGACAACAGCAACCGCGTCCAAGTGACACAGCAACGTGTCCAAGTCGTCAAGTGACAGCAACGCGTCCAGTGACACAGCACCCGCGTCCAAGTGACACAGCAACCCGCGTCCAAGTGACACAGCAACCGCGTCCAAGTGACACAGCAACCGCGTCCCCAAGTGACCACAGCAACCGCGTCCAAGTGACACAGCAACCCGCGTCCAAGTGACACAGCAACCGCCGTCCCAGTGACACAGCAACCGCGTGCACCAAGTGACACAGCAACCGCGGTCCAAGTGACACAGCAACCGCGTCCAAGACACAGCAACCGCGTCCAGAACAAGCAACCGCGTCCAAGTGACACAGCAACCGCGTCCAAGTGACACAGCAACCGCGTGTGACACAGCAAGTGTGACACAGCAACCGCGTGACCCAAAGTCCAAGTGACACAGCAACCGCGTCCAAGTGACCAGCACCGCGTCCAGACACAGCAACCGCGTCCAAGTGACAGCAGCAACGCGTCCAAGTGACACAGCAAGTCCAACGTGACACAGCAACGCGCGTCCAAGTACACAGCAACCGCGTCCAAGTGTCCAAGTGACCCAACCGCGTCCACAGGGACACCAGCAACCGCTCAAAGTGACACAGCAACCGCGTCCAAGTGACACAGCAACCCGCGTCCAAGTGACACAGCAACCGCGTGTGACACAGCAACCGCGTCAAGTGACACAGCAACCGCGTCCAAGTGACACAGCAACCGCTCAAGTGACACACAAACCACAGCAACACACCCGCGTGACACAGCAAGTGACACAGCAACCCGCGTCCAGGTGACACAGCAACCGCGTCCAGTGACACAGCAACCGCGTCCAAGTGACACAGCAAACCGCGTCCAGAAGTGACACAGCAAACCGTCCCAAGTGACACAGCAACCGCGTCCAAGTGACACAGCAACCGCGTCCAAGTGACACAGCAACCGCGTCCAAGTTGACACAGCAACCGCAAGTGAGTGACACAGCAAACGCGTCCAGTGACACAGCAACCGCGTCCAAGTGACACAGCAACCGCGTTCAATGACACAGCAACCGCGTCCAAGTGACACCAGCAACCGCGTCCAAGTGACACAGCAACCCCGTCCAAGTGACACAGCAACCAAGTGCAACCGCGCCAGTGACACAGCAACCGCGTCCAGGTGACACAGCAAACCGCCAAGTCCACACAGCAACCGCGTCCAATCCACAGCAACCGCGTCAAGTGCCCACAGCAAACCGCGTCCAAGTGACACAGCAACCCGCGTCCAAGTGACACCAACCGCGTCCAAGTGACACAGCACCCGCGTCCAGTGACACAGCAACCGCGTCCTCCTCTGCCGTCGCGGGACTCAGGCCACCAGATGGATGGTCAGCGTCCCGTATTGTCTTCTCTGGCGCTTCCGTCTTGATGAAGGTCCTGTGGAATTCCAACCCGGGCGGTGTTTTTTTCTTTTTTCTTTCCTTTTCTTTTCTATCTTTTCTTTTTCTTTTTTTCTTTCTTTCCTTTCTTTCTTTCTTCTTCTTCTTCCTCCTCCTCCTCAGCAACCGCGTCCAAGTGACACAGCAACCGCGTCCAAGTGACAGCAACAAGCAGCAACCGCGTCCAAGTGACACAGCAACCGCGTCCAAGTCCAGCAACGTGACACAGCAACCGCGTCCACACAGGGTGTCCAAGTGACACAGCAACCGCGTCCAAGTGGCAACCGCGTCCAAGTGACTCAGCAACCGCGTCCAAGTGCACAGCAAGGTGACACAGCAACCGCGTCCAAGTGACACAGCAACGCGTCCAAGTGACACAGCAACCGCGTCCAAGTGACACAGCAACCGCGTTCAGCAACGCGTCCAAGTGACACAGCAACCGCGTCCAGGTGACACAGCAACCGCGTCCAAGTGACACAGCAACCGCGTCCAAGTGACACAGCAACCGCGTCCAAGTGACACAGCAACCGCGTCCTCCTCTGCCGTCCGCGGGACTCAGGCCATCAGATGGATTGGTCAGCGTCCCGTATTGTCTTCTCTGGCGCTTCCGTCTTGATGAAGGTCCTGTGGAATTCCAACCCGGGCGGTGTTTTTTTCTTTTTTCTTTCTTTTTCTTTCTATCTTTTCTTTTTCTTTTTTTTCTTTTTTCTTTCTTTCTTTCTTTTCTTTCTTCTTCTCTTCTTCTTCTTACTTTTACTTCTTCTCTTCTTCTTCTTCCTCCTCCTCCAAGTGAACAGCAACCCGCGTCCTCTCTGCCGTCGCGGACTCAGGCCACCAGATGGATTGGTCAGCGTCCCGTATTGTCTTCTCTGGCGCTTCCGTCTTGATGAAGGTCCTGTGGAATTCCAACCCGGGCGTGTTTTTTCTTTTTTCTTTCTTTTCTTTCTTTTTCTCTTTATTTTTTTATTTCTATTTTTTCTTTTTATTTTTCTTTTCTATTTCCTTTTCTTTTTCTTTCTTCTTCTTCTTCTTCTTCTTCTCCTCCCCCTCCTCCTCCCATATGTCGGCCACCCTTCGCATAGACCGCCTGATCCTCTGACCTGACACGACCTCCCTTCGCTTCCCTTCACCTGTCCTCACCTGCCTTGTTTATCGTCGTTTATCGCGTTGATTCTCCCTTCTCCCACTTACGCTTCCTCACCCTTTCCTCCTCAGACCTCCAGGAAGATTCCAAAAGTTTTATTTCAATTTCATTAAATCTGGTTTGTACATTGTGGTTTATCTACCAGATAGAGTCTACCCTCATGTGTGTGTGTGTGTGTGGTGTGGTGTGTGTGTGTGTGTGTGTGTGTGTGTTGTGTGTGTGTGTGTGAATGTGTGTGTGTGTGTGTTGTGTGTGTGTGTGTGTGTGTGTGTGTGGAGCGAGTGTGAGTGTGAGTGTGTGCGAGTGCGAGTGTCAGTGTGCGTGTATGTGTTTATGTATACCAATCTGTCTGTCTATTTGTAAAGCGAAACGCACAAAGTTCATATCCCACAATTCCTCTCGTTACCCCATTTTCCCCTTCACAGATCACCCTTAAGGGGAAATGCACAGCGAGGAGACGACGGTGAGTGTCGGGGCCTCTAACTTCGCCCATACGACGCTAACTTTGGCTAAATCATTTACCGGTAACCGTGTACTTTATGGGAAGGGGGGAGGGAGGGGGGGAGGGGGTCGTCTCGGCTTGCTTGTTTTTCGGTAAGGACAGTATATGGTTATATGCATACATGTTGTGTGTGTGTGTGTGTGTGTGTGTGTGTGTGTGTGTGTGTGTGTGTGTGTGTGTGTGTGTGTGTGTGTGTGTGTGTGTGTTGTATGTATACATATATATATATATTATATTATATATATATTATATATAGGTATATATATATATATATATATATATACATATATATATATACATATATATATACATATATCATATATATATATATATATATATATATATATATATTATAAGTATATAATATGTATAGTATATTGTATTATATATGTAATAATATTTATATATATATATAATATTTATATATATATAATATATATATATATAATACATATAATATATATATATTATATTATTATATATATATTATTTATATATATATATATATATATATATATATATATATATATAATATATATATATACTAATATACAAACATACACACTAATGCACGCACTCACACATACAGTATATAGGGCAATTCATAATTCTCATTATAATGAATCCACTTTAAATTGTTCTGTAATATTTTCAATATCACGTTACCACCCTTGTGTTATATTTTTGTAACTTGTTTAATATTATTACTTGCTTTTTCCATTATCTTACACTCTCTCTTTTCCGGAGACACTTCAGAATTTCTCGATTGCATGAGACCGCTGAATGATTGGCATCTGTGAGGGTCGACGCCCCACTTGCTAAACTGCATTCATAAGGGTCCTCTTGAGTGCCCCTTCCTCCCTTTCCTCTCCCCCTTACTCCTTACTTCCTTTTTCTTCCCTGTCTTCTCTCTCTTCCCTTATTCCTTCGCTCTTTTCCCCTCTCTTGCCTTTCCTTTCGTCCTTACTTTCTCATTCCATTTTTTTTAACTTCCCTCTTCCCCTACTATTCACACCCCTTACGTCTACTTCTCTGTTCCTTCTTTCAATTCCTTTCCCTCTCATTCCCTACTTTCCTTCTCCCTCTCCTTCTCATGCCCCTCTTCAACCCCCGACATGGACCCTTACCCCTTGTACCCCTTGGCACCCTATTTCCCTCCTTCGATACACTCCACTTTGGCCCCTCTCATTCTCTCTCCTTTATCTTCATCTTTCTTTCTTTCTCCCTCCTCTTCCCCCTAACCTCTCACTCTCATTCTCTACTCTTATGCCCTTAACTTGTCATTCCCACCTCTTTCTTCCTCCCTCATCTCCCTTTCTTTCTCCTTAGATCATATACTCTGCCTCCCTCTCTCCTTCCATCCTCTCCTCTCCTTCTTCCCCTCATTTCTTCCTTCCTCTCTCCCCTCCACCTCTCTCCCTCTCCCGTCTTACCTCCTCCTCCTTCGTCCCATTTCCCTCCCCCCCCACCTTTCGTCCCGTCTGCCTCCCCCAATCCACCCTCGCCCTCCTCCTTTCGTCCCATCTCCCCTCTCCCTCCCCCTCCTCGCCCCTCTCCCACCCCTCGCCCCTCTCCGCCCCCTCCCCGCCTCCTCTCCCTCCCCCTCCCCTCCTCTCCCTCGTCCACCCTCCCTCGCTCCTCGCCCCTCACCGCCTCCCCCCTCTTCCCCCCCTTCCCTCTCTCCCATCTCTCCTCCTCCTTCCCCCTCTCCCTCTCCTCCCACCCCCTCCCTCGCCCCTCCTCCCTCCTCCCTCCCCCGCCCCTCTCCCTACCTATATGGCAACGTCGGGGTTCGTTTTAGAAGCTTTTGGAATGTAAAGTCAATCCCCCACAACCTTATTGGGTTCCAAGGACACATGCCCGCCCACGATGAAATTGGATTTGCTCCACCGCACGGTCCTTGAGGGTAAAGAAAGGGGAGAATGGGGAAGAAAACGGTGAGAATAAGGGGGAGCTAAAACGGGAGGGAGTGAAGGAAGAAAGGGGGGAAATCGATTAGCAAAGATAAGAAGGGAAGAGAATACGTGGGTTTGACTGATCTCTGCTTCGGCCCCCCCCAAGACGTCTTATGCCGTGGAGAAAGGGAAGAGAATGGGGGAAAGATGGTGGGGATGAGGGAGACGATGAATGAAAGGGAAAAGGAAAGTTAACTGAAATAGCATATGACCAGAACGGATATAGAACAGATATAATGAGAGAGATAGATAGAACGAAGGGGGAGAGGGAGGAGAGGGAAGGGAGGGATGGGAGGATCGTGAGGGAGGGAGAGGAAGAGAAGGAAGGAGCGGATGTAAGGCGAGAGAGGAGGGCAGATGATGAGAGGAGAAGAGGAGAAGAGAGAGATGAGAGAGAGGAGAGGAGAGAGAGAGAGGAAGAAAAAGAGAGGGGAGATAGAGAGAGTAAGACGAGTTAGAGAGAGAGGAAGAGAGAGAAGAGACGAGAGAGAGAGAGAGAGAGAGAGAGAGAGAGAGCAGATGAGAGAGAGATAGATGAAGAGGATAGAGAGAGAGAGAGATAGATAGAGATATAATGAGAATATCGAGAGAAGCGTCAAACGAGGAAAGAAAAATATGAAAGGAAATTTGACAAAACGAGACTCAAAAGAGGAGAAGAATACAAGTACCAAGGAGAAAGGAATGAGACAAGCTGAAAGGACATAAAAGACCCAGTTTCCACTGAAGGCCAAGTAACCGCTATCACAAATGTCAAAATAAACAGCTATTTCATCTCTCACTAACACTTCGAATGTAATGATCGCAAATGTTCACAAATGTTCTTACATGTTCGTAAATCCCATGTCTAATGTATTATTTTATTCTATCGCGCGTGTATTGATAAATCGTGAAAATTGAGATTGTAATTGTTTATTGGTGTTATTCATTTTGTAATTATAATCTCCTTTGCTCTGCTTCCATCTGTCTGGTTCGTTTCTCTGTGTTTTGCGTCCTTTCCCTCTCTCTCCCTCTCTCCTCCTTTCTCTCTCCCATCTCTTCTCTCTCTCCATGTCAATCTCTCATCCCTCTCTCTCTCTTCTCTGCCCTCCTCTTCCGTGCCCTTCACTCTGCATGTGTCGTCTCTCGTGTCCTGTGAGCCTCTCTCTCTCTCTCTCTCTCTCCTCTCCGCACCCGGTGGTTTTGAGTGGAGGTAAAGGAGAGATGAAGGAGAGATAGACAGGATATATAAGATAGATAGAGATATAAGAGATAGAAACAGATGATGATCAATATAAACACATAGAACAAATAGATAAATAGATAGATAGATAAGAAGAGGAGAGACGAGAGAAATGCAAGAAAGCGGAAGGAGTGGGGCAGATGGGAAAGAATGAGAGAGAGAGAGGGATAAGAGATAGTATCAGTATAACCCCGAGGGGGGCCAATAATGTCATAAAAAAACTACACCATAAATCTAGAACAAAAAGGGAGAACGAAATTTTTAGATAGACCGCGCATACATATATAAGAAGGAATTAGTAGAGGAGAAAAACATACTAAATTTTTCTTTCCTTCTTCCGTAATATAGAAAAAAATGCCAAAAGCAGGAGCTCACAGGTACAGTTATTAGAAGGCAAGTCGAAATGAATGGCAAGAACAAGAAGAGAAGTTTCCACAGAGAAAAGGTATTTTACCAACACTGAATAATCGGAAGTTGGGTTTAAATTATGACGAATCTCGAACGTCAGGGGCACTGAAGATTGTTCTTCATTGTCCTTTCCCCCCTCTAATCTCTTCCTTTCCGGTGTCGTAGACGAAAGACAAAGAAGGAATGTGTAGGGCGGAGGATAGGAATGGAGAGAGAGGGGGAAAGAAGGGGAAGTTAGCGAATCACTCTATAGCGTCGCCTTGACAATACGAGATATAGTTATATACAGATAGAGGATAATTAAGGTAGATTTTTTACAGAGAGATAAATAAGATTAAAATAAAATAGAGTAGAGCAATAGATCGGCTAAATGAGGTAGGTAGATAAAAAGATAGCTGGATTGAATATGATAGACAATCAGTATAGAGTAATAGATAGAGGAAGATGAGCAGAGAGAAGAGAGGAGAGGGAGAGGCAGAGAACGAGAGAGAGAGAGAGAGAGAGAGAGAGAGAGAGAGAGAGAGAGAGAGAATAGAGAGAGAGAGAGAGAGAGAGAGAAAGGAAGAGAGAGAGTCATTTCAGTTATAGACAGAAGAGACAGAGAGAAATAGGCAAGAAAAACACTGAAAGAAAACAGACAAACATAAATAAAACAATTTAAACAAAACTGAAAAAAAACGAACAAAACGATATTGAAAGAACAAAAGCCAAAAAAAAAAAAAAAAAAAAAAAAAAAAAAGAGAGGGATACGTAATATCATCACGAGCCTTTAGAGCGAAAATGCCATTACCTTTTCGCTAACCAAGCAAGATTCCCGAGCGACCTGGCAACCTTTTTTCGCATTGTTTTGCTCCGAAATTTTGCTCTTTTTCGGCTTAAAGTGAATTCTTCCTGTTTACCTTAATGTCACACTTCCTCTTTCTGGATATACTTAGATGCATGCAAGCGAGTGTATTTTTAGTGTCTGTGTTCGTGCTTGTTGTGTGTTGTGTTGTGTGTGTGTGTGTGTGTTGTGTGTGTGTGTGTGGTGTGTGTGTGTGTGTGTGTGTGTGTGTGTGTTGTGTGTGTGTGTGTTGTGTGTGTGTGTTGTGTGTGTGTGTGTGTGTGTGTGTGTGGTGTGTTGTGTGTGTCGTGTGTGTGTGTGTGTGTGTGTGTGTGTGGTAGTGTGGTGTGTTTGTGTGTTGTGCCGTAGCGTGCGTGCGTTGATTAGGCAGACTGTGGCGTGGCGTGCGGTAGCGTGCGTGGCGTGGCGTGCGTTGCGTGAGCGTGCGTGCGTGCTGTTGCGTGCGTGTTGTTGCGGCGTGTGCGGTTTTGGTACCGTTGCTGTGGGTGTGCGTAGTTGCGTGCTTGCGTTCTGTCCACGAGAGGCGTGTGTGGGCTGTGTATTTTCGGGCATTATAGTAGAATAAAATAAATTAAAGGGAGAGAGAGAGAGAGAGAAAGAGAGTCAATTAATGCAACTTAGGCAGGATTGTGGTTATGTCCCATGAAGTAGCCAATTCATCTCTTAGACAATTTGCATTGGTATTCTTTATTTTGATATATTCTAATATTATATCCTAATATTTCGCCCTGTTTTCGCTGTAATGGCGGTATCGACCAAACTAAACGATGGCATTGAATCCTCAAAACAAAAATATAAATATATCTAAGCTCGTGCTAGTTTAACATTCAAATGATGTAGTCCGTAGAATAGCAACAAACAGTGCCACAGCGGTCTATTTTTGCCTTTTTTTTAAACCGGTCGTAAAATTCGATAATCACCTGCTGTAAATAAGAGAGAGAGAGTTATTGATAAATAATAAAGACACTGCGAGGCAGCATTAGACTAGAGTGGCGGATCTGAACGCCAAGGTAGAGGGAGCGCTATTCGATATCTATGCTAACA